GACTATAACTTTATATTATAGATATTCCTTAAAGATTACCTTAAAATAATCTATATTTATAATTTATAAATTCTAAATAGTAAAATAGAAAGTTCTTAAAAGTATATAGTTTGTCTTAGTAATATTATAGTATTTAGGTTATCTTATAAGTTAGATGCGGCATGTAATCTTATTAAGAATAGCGTGCTCCTTCCTTTATATAATAGTGTATTACTAACTATATCTATTCCCCTAATTAATCTAGAGCTATTATACTTCCTCTAGTATTTTTAAGTCTTTATCTTTTAATATTAGACCCTAACTGCCCCTTAGGTAAACTAAGAGAATAATTAGGGTCTAATATAGCTCTAGAGGAGCTAATATTTATCTAAATTAGGATTTTTATTAGTCTAATATTAAGTTAGTATTTTTTTTAATATTAAGAAGAAGTAGATATACTCTTACTTATTAGTTATCTTATTACTAATTTTCTTACTATAATATAGAATAATGAAACTAAAATTAAAAAGGAATTACTTAAGTTAATATATAATAGCTTATAAAATTAGACCTTTACTAAATAAGCTAAGTTGCTTAAGCTAATAAATAATAGTTAGTATTAATACCTATAAAAGTAAAAAGAATATTAGTCTTGCTTATATTACTCCTTACTATAAAGAGATAAAAAAGAGAGATAGCTACGTTCCTAACTATATATATCTTACTAAACTTTAATAAGCTAAGTATTAAGGTTTAGTAGAATATTAAGGGATAGTATATATAATAATATAGTAACCCTTAATATAGGATTTAGATACACTAAAACGAAATAGAATCTTTTAGTAATATAATAAATAATATTATAATAAGATCCTATTTCTAATATAATAAATAACGTTATAATAGAAATAGGATCTTATTATAATATTATTTATTATATTACTAAAAGATTCTATTTTGTTTTAGCGTATCTAAATCCTATATTAAGAGTCGCTATATTATTATATATAAAAAAGAGGAACGTAGCTATCTCTCTTTTTTATCTCTTTATAGTAAGAAGTAATATAAGTAGGATTAATATTCTTTTTACTTTTATAGGTATTAATACTAACTATTATTAATTAGTATAAGCAACTTAGCTTATCTAGTAAAGGTCTTATTTTGTAAGCTATTATATATTAACTTAAGTAATTCCTTCTTAATTTTAGTTCTCTTAGTTAGCTAAGCTATAGATTAGTCTTACTTCTATTTAACCTATATATTAGTCCTACTCCTAATTTACCTATAAATTAATAGTACTTATAAACTTATTACTTATAAGGAGTAGTTTGCTAATAATATATCTAGGTTTACTTTAAGTTTATATTTTTTTTTTAGTTTATATCTTTAGTCTTTAGTTTCCTTTAGTATTTTTAAGTCTTTATCTTTTAATATTAGACCTTAACTACCCCCTAGGTAAACTAAGAGAATAATTAGGGTCTAATATAGCTTCTAAAGGAGCTAATGCCTACCTAAATTAGGATTTTTATTAATTTAATATTAAGTTAGTATTCTTTTTAATAGTAGAAGGAAGTAGATATACTTTTACCTATTAGTTATTTCGTTACTAATATATATTTCTTTTATATAAAGTACTACCTTATTTAATAATATAGTAGATAAGGATCTAGTACTCTATTAGTATATATATAATATAGTTTTTAGTAGAAATATACTATTACGTTAGATATAACTATCTTTTTATAAAGAAGTACTACTAGCTATACTTTAATTAATACTTATAATATATACCTAAGTTTATAATTAGCTTTAACCTATTAATATAATACTATCTTTATAAATAGAAGACTTCTTAAAAAGATAAAAGAACTAAATATATAATAAGCACCTAGGGCAAGCAAAGTAGTATACTTACTTTACTATCCTAGGCGTAGTAATAATAAGTAAAAGTAAATATATTAAAAAATAACTACTAAAATAAATAGAGATACTAAAAGTAATTCCTACTATCTTAAAGTAGATTAGTAGATAATAGAGTAAATTTAAGACTTACTTAAAGTATAGGTTATAGGCTTAAATCTAGTAAAGAATAGCTTATAATACGCTTTTTATATTTTTATTTCTATTAGTTATAATATATAAAATATAGGCTTACTATACTATACTCTTAAATATCCTAAATAAACTCTTAGTTTATTCTTAAAGTTATTAATTATTACTAAGTAATAAGGTAGATAGATATATAAGCTCTATAAGTTAAAAGTTTAATTACTTAGATTTTATAATATCTCTTTATAAATAAGCATAATAATTAGTTAGTAACTACTATAGCTAGTAATATATTTTTAGATATTAGCTAATTCTAAGCTACTCTTTTACTACTTAATTATCTAGTAGTTAGATATATACTATAGTTACTACTTCTACTTACTAAGGACTAGTACTTTTTAACTTAAGAAGAACGTTACTTAAATAAAAATATTTAGAAGTAGTTAACTAGCTTACCTCTATATATTAATAAATTAATAATAATATTTATTAATATCTATTTATATTATCTAGTATATATTAATAGAAAGTATATCTCTACTTTTCTCATAATATACTACTAATTATATACTAAATAATAAAGTTTCTCTATTTTTTTAGAGGCTTTTATATCTATATTCTTTTAATAATAATATTTACTACTTTAGATTAATAATATATACTAAGATTTCTATTTAAGGAAAAGTTAGGTATATCTAAAGTATAACTACTAGCTAATAAATAATATAGTTAAATTACCTTAATAAGGCTACCTAGAGTCCTTACCTAATAAACTTAACCTTCCTAGAAAAAATATATACTTTATATTAAAGTAAAAAGTATAACTTCTATTATACGTTAAGGCTAACGTATTAAATATACTTATTAATACTAGATTAAGGTAGGATTACTTTTTATAGATAAGAATACTCTTAGTAAAATTAAAAGCCTATAGTTTATATAGGTTAATAATCCTATAACCTACTTATACTATTTATATTATTCCTAATATAGTACTTATGCTTCCTAAGAATATAGGGTACTATATAGAATTATCTCTATATATAATAATAATAAAGCTATAATAATATTAGAAAGTCTTTATATAGCCTAGTTTAATTAAAGATTATAGTAGAAAATTATAATAGTTAGCTTTAGTTTTTAGGTAACCTTCCTTCTAATTACTAACTTACTAGTATTTAGTTTAAATAGTATTTAAATAACATACTAGTTTTTAACTAACTTTCTTCTATATTATAAAACGTAAGCTCTTCTAATATATAAAATAACCTAATTACTATACCTTAGCCTAAAGTATAACTACTATATAAGTATAATAGGTTATATAGAACTATAGCCTTAGGAGAGTATTATTAAAAAAATAGGTAAAGAAAGAATAAAATTAGACTTAAAAGGTATACTAGAATTACTTTATTATAACTAGTAAGCCTATTTATAAGATAAAATCTCTAAATAAGAAAGTAATTAGTTATTATTAATAAGCCTACTATAGATAGTAGTCTATAGTAGGCTATAACTAATAAAGGATAGTAATATTATTTATATTTTATATATAGTATCTCTAAATAATAAGTAGTTATAGTATTTAGTATAACTAAAATACTAATTAATTAATAGTTAAAAACTATCTATATTATTATAAATTAACTTAGTGTAATATAATATATTAATATAGAACGTATTAATATTAAAGATATTAAGACTTTTTTTTAAAAGAAAAAAATTAATATAAAAAATACCTTACTATTTTAATCTTCTCTAGAAAGCGTATTAGAGAAGGGTAACTAATAAAGTATAATAAGATATCTCTAATAATAAATACTAAAGTATAAATATTTATAAAGATTATTATTAAATCTTATTTATTATCTTTTCAGCTACGCTAATAGGCTATGCAGACGCTACTCTTAATAAGCAGGTAAAAACCCTTATCTAATTAGCCAATCTACCCAAATCTAGCCAAGCTAGCTCACTCTAGGCCTAAGGCCTAGTCCGGCTTTAGCTAATCCCTACATGTTTAGCAAACTAAAGCGCTAACTACATAAGAGAAAACCCCGCTATTATGTTCTATATACCAATTTATGCTAAGGCTAATATTATACCCTACTAAGCTCCATTAGCCCCCTAAGCCGCGGAAGCTTTAGCGGATCAGGGAGCTAAATTCCAAGGAGTATTCAGCCCATTAGCACTTCTCCAGGCTAGTTCCGCTACGGGTTATTGTTCTTCCGCTCGGTCCACTGCTTCAAGTTCCTAAAGTTGCCAATGTTATCGTCCCCAAGGGGCCGAGATTCCTTCCTTATTTGTTATTATATCAGATCCCTCCATTCGTGCCGCAATACCAAGTCCGAAGCAGCGCCAACGGTCTGCTAAAAGCTATCCGTCTACGCTGTACTTCGCTTTCGAGCCAAAATCCAAGTCCTTTAGCCCGGCGTATTCTAGGTCACCTCCCCTAAGTCTGCCAGCTTATTCCTATAACGCCGTGTTTATACCAACCTAAGGGCACCGTACTTACTAAGCCGTAGTGTCCTGGATCCCGTGATTTACTGCCGTGTCATTCAGTCCGATCTTTGCCTTAACCAATTGCGGCTAGATTTCGGACTTACTAAGCCAAGGCCGCTCCTCCGATCTAATTGCTAAGAGCCGTAAAAGAATTAGCTTCAGCATACTAAATTTACTACGCTTTAGCAATGTTATAGCTTGTTTTATATAGCTTTGCGTGCCGTATAGCTATAACTAGTTTCCAATCATATAATTTTTAACGCTAGTCCATTGTTAGTTAGTAGGGCTTTGATAAGGATGATCTTATAGCTATATATAGCAGTCATATAATACAAAAATTTTTGCACCTTCCGCGACGTATTAAAAAGAGCTATAGCTCGTCCTCTACACCTACTAAAAAGGGAAAAATAACCTTCCCTAAAAAGGGGTAAACGTAGCTTTAAAAGCAAGTAACAATTACCTTTTTAGGGTAGTGGAGGAGACGGGAATTAAACCCGTACTCTGCGGATTCTCAAACAGGTAGGGCCTACTACAAGATTACAAGTACTACCACTGTACTACTCCCCCTATTTATAAAGATTATTATAATATTATTGCCTTAAAAGGGTCTTAATATTAATTAAGATTTACTAAGATGCCTTTATAGTAATTTTACTAAGTATTAGTATAAATATACTACTTAATAAGCTTTATTATAGAAAGCTCTACTTACTTAAGTAATACATAGTATTAAATAATACTACTTAGTAATAAAAAAGCTTTATAGCTATCCTAGCTAGTTAATACTTATATATTTAGAAAACTAGACTAGGTTATAAAGATAGGTTAGACTAGTAATCTCTACTAGTTTTAGCTACCTTAAAGCTAAGTAATTATTAAATAGTACTTTAAAAAGTAACTATAAGTTATTCTTTTTATTTTACTAAAATAAATATATATAATAAGTAAAATAATATCTTAATTCCTTATATAAGGCATCTCTTTATAAAAGGTAGATACTTTAACGTATTCTAATAAATAATATCTTAATCTCTTATATAAGGTATCTCTTTATAAAGGGTAGATACCTTAATATATTCTAATAAATAATATCTTAATCTCTTATATAAGGTATCTCCTTATTAAAGGGTAGATACCTTAACGTATTTTAATAAGTTATTTATAGAGCGCGCATTATAAGGAAAATACTAAGTATTTTACTATAAGGTATTTTACTATACGTATTCTCTTAAATAGTCCTAAGGAAGAAATAGCATAGTAGGCTTTATATTTAAATTAGATAGCTATAGAAGTATACTATACTAGAAAATATAGAATTAAGAAATAGAGAGAGCCTTTTAACTAAAAAGACTTATTTTATAGTAGTAGAACGTTATTCTTAAAGTAATACTTACTACTAGATTATTAAGATTTAGTATAATAAGACTATATAGATATAAAACTACTATGTAGTATAAGCTTAAATAATTACTATAAATTCTATACGATTTTAGGTTATATAAAATAATAATTATTTAGCTAAATTAGCTAATTAATTTTTCCTTCTTCTATAAAAGAGCTAAAAAAGTATTATTTCCTTACTTACTTAGCTCTTAATATAGCTATAAAGTAGCTTAAGAAGACTTAGGTATATATACTACTTACTATATAAACTAGCTTAATGCTACTTAGATATAATAGCTAGATTAGAGTTATAGTTCTACTTTCCTTTAATACTAAAAAATCTTACTTTACTAAACCTTCTCTACTATAATTCTATTACCTAATTATATTAGTTATACTTAATTTAATAAGGAAAGACGAACTTATATATAATTTAGCTTTATAAGATTATTATATAGTAGTACTAACTATCCTAGCGCTAATCTTATACTATTTTCTTACTTTTTTTATATTCTTTATAGTATAGTATTTTATAATAGTAGGCTAGCCTTTTAGATATTTAAGTATAGATACGTTTTATAAGATAATTAGTATCTATAAGAAATACTTATATATTTAGTATTAGTAGTTCTACTAATTAGTAAGCTAAATAGTATATATAATAGTTTAGTATATAAGCTAAGGAATATAGACTTACTAAAACGTAACTTTACCTTATATAATATATATAGAGAAGTCTAAAATACTCTATATTAACGTCTTAAAGCTTGCGTAATTATATTAAAAGCTAAATGTTACTTTTAGAGATATAAATTAGTAGTAGAGGAGTATTAGAAGACGTTGCTACTAAAGGGATAGAAGTCTTTAGTAACTTAGACTTATTAGAAGTTAGTAAGGTAGTTATAAGTAAAAAAGACAACGTACTAGAATAATATTATTTAGTAAGGGATTACGTCCTTCTTACTACTAAGATATAATACCTAACCTAAAGGAATAATATATACGAAAGGAATAATACTACTAAAGGGATATTATAGCTAAGGCTTACCTATAAGGTAATTTAGTAAGGAACTACTACTACTAAGCTTTACTAAACTTTACTATAGTTATAAATTCCTAACTATACTTTTATCCTTTTAAGGAAGGAGCCCTATAGTATTTACCTTAATTAAAACCCTTGTATAGTATTATTTTATTTATTAAAGCTATTTTAGGAGAGATATTATAAGTATAGTCTTCTTAAAGAATATTCTCTTACTAAATTTAGTAAGCTTTCCTACGAACTAATATCTTTGCCTATAATATATTCTTATAACTATACTAAAATCTATATATAGCTTAAAGAATATTTCCTTACTTAGTAAGCTTTCTTATAAACTAATATCTTTGCCTATAATACGTCTCTATAACTATACTAAAATCTATATATAGCTTAAAGAATATTCTCTTACTTAGTAAGCTTTCTTATAAACTAATATCTTTACTTATAATACGTCTCTATAATTATACTAAAATCTATATATAGCTTAAAGAATATTCCTTTACTTAGTAAGCTTCCTTATAAACTAATATCTTTACTTATAATATATCTTTATAACTATACTAAAATCTATATATAGCTTAGAGAATATTTCCTTACTAAATTTAGTAAGCTTCTTTATAAATTAATATCTTTACCTATAATATATCTTTATAACTATACTAAAATCTACGTATAGCCTACCTAAGGGAAGATATTATAAGTATAGTTCTTCTAAAGAATATTCCTATACTAAATTTAGTAAGCTTCCCTATAAATTAATATCTTTACTTATAATATATACCTATAACTATACTAAAATCTATATATAGCTTACTTTAGGAGAGATATTATAAGTAAGTAGTCCTTATAAAGAATATTCCCTTACTAAATTTAGTAAGCTTCTTTATAAACTAATATCTTTATTTAAAATATAACCTTATAACTATACTAAAACCTATAAATAGCCTACTAGACCCTTCTAAGCAAGCTATAGTATTATATAAAGGCGCTGCCTTACTAAATATTAGTAACCCTATTATAAATAAAGATAATTTCTACTACTAAAATAGAAGTTTAGAAGTTTAGAAGTTCTTAAAGTAGTATAGGTTAGTAGTAATACATTATAAGTTAGACATAGTAGGTAATATTATTAAGAGTAGCGTATTCCTTTAGGCTTACTATTAAATTAAATACTAATCTAATCTAGATATTAATTATTTAGTTATACTTATAATATTTATATTATAAGCTATAGTAGTAAGTTAAGCTAATTTATAAATCTCTATATATTTACCTTATTAAATATTAGATTTACTTATCTTACTTAGGACTTTTATATCTACTTCTATTAAATTCTATCTATTCTAAATTAATAGTTTATCTTATTTTATAATTCTATATCTTTTAGCTTACTTATATCTTAATTTAAATATTATTTATTATATAAGATATTTATCTAATACTTTTTAAATCTTAGATACTCTTTTCTTAGTAAGTATATAGGCTATATTAAATCTCCTATACCTATTTAATATTTAATAATAGTAGTTAGAAGGCTTAGATTAAGGTATATAAATAACGTAAGTATACTCTATAAACCTTAGTAAATAGTTTCTTTACTATTATATAAAATATTATAGCTTTAATAATAGTTCTTATAGAACTTACTAATAATA